AAAATTTGAGTATTTTTCTATGTTATGTTCATGTTTATGTTCATAAACTTTTTATTTAATAAAATATGTTTTCATAGTTTGTGTTGTCCCTTATTATCAATGCAAAATGGTCACTAACTAAAGAGGATTTATGCTGATATTGCCCAAAAACCCTATTTTGTTCAGGCGTTTCCAAACTTTTGGAAGGCAGTGTATATATTTTTTATGAATACCTACGGAAATTCCATGACATAATAATGACAGATAAGCAAAGTTATATTTAAGTATTTTTACTTTAATCATAAATTAGAGTAAGTTTGGTTTTGATGGCTCGCATCAGTACCATTATATTCCTCCACATCCATACAGTACCAGAAGTAACTGAGCGACAAAGTCACTTGTCAAAATGTTCTAACATTAATCAGCCTGAAAAATAACTAACTCGACTTTATGTCAAGCAGTGGTGAAAAGAGTACAGAGCGCACTGCCTTGAGGAAAAGTACTGCTACTGGGTTAGTTGTAACAGGACCAGTTGCACCAATCAGGGACAAGCGAGAATATCATGATCACTAGAATCTCACAGTCACGATCACTTTGTTATTAGAGACAAAAACAAACAAACAAACAAAAAAAAATTTTAGAGGCAATAAAAGTAATTTTTGGGACCAAGTTTATATTGTGATAGAATGTAAATGCTAGAACTTGTAGTAGATTAAACAGTACTCATTTAAGTTAGACGGGATGCATTTCAACCATGCTAATTTCAACCCACCATACTACAACAGTTAGGAATAAAATACCCGACAGGCGTAGGGATAGTTGTAACACTTTGAAAATAGAGTTACAGCCAACTGCCAGTGATGACAAAGGGCATTACTCAGCATGCCTATAGGCATGCTCCTGTATACACAGTATACACTGTGGAAAGGGAAAACAGACAAGGGTGTGCCTTGAAAAAGCTCAGACAGGGGAAATCAGACAAGTCTGACACCAAGGCCCATTCTAGCTTCTATGTTACTTTTTTATTCTACATTTTCAAGTCAGAAAGTTTGCATATCAACTGGCAGTGGAGTCTAACCTCATACACCCCCAGTCTTGGGATGAAAAATCTATAGCAGGTCCTGACTGGTTCTCAGGCTTTATCAAAATGCATCCCAACCGGTCAATGAAAAGCGTGGAGGGAGCTAGTCTGACACGAGCTATGTACAAGCTTTAACTGTTCAAATATGGAGAGATTTTTCAAGTGCCTTGGGGAAGTAATTGAGAGGCATTGCTTTGCTAGTAGTGATATATGGAAAATGAAGCGACTAATAAAACATTGTTTTCTGATAAATATCATAATTAAAATATTATCACCCTATGCATACACATAAAGAACATTGTTTATTATGGACTGTAATTTGTTCATTCAGTTCATTCATTCATCTTTTTGTGTCAGACCATTAAAGCACAAGCTTTATCCGCTAGGCCAATAAATGCGTTTGTCTTTTGTGTCGGAGACATGAAGCAAATTGGCTTTCATTGATAAATAAGGATCACAGAGCGTGTCAATATAGTGAAGCCAAAGGGGCCATTCGGGATGCATACGGTGATGCTAAAGGCTTGTGCCCATGCTTCAGTATTTGACGTGTCGGGGGTGAGAACAGGTTGGTGTAAAAGAATCAGCACTGTGATAGATTTCATAGTCTAAGACTATTGTATAGTGTGATCTCAAGCTGTGCTTCTTTTCTTTGAATGTTACAACTTATACCAGCTTGGGGTAGGTTGTACCAGTGGAACTCCTTGTATTTCACATCAATTCATGAACACTGTGATACTATAACAGAGGTTGAAATGGCTGCCATTTGTAGTAGACAAATGTGGGAATGTTGTGTCTAAATTTGAGAGATCTACCACGAAAACTCAAAAATGTGTTACAATCATCCCTGTTCCCTCCTAGTAATAATTCCCTTGATTAAAAAGTAAAGGAAGTGATCAAGAAAATTACGCAAGGAAGAGTAAATAAATCACCTGCTGAAAAAGTACTAGGGAAATTATTTTGTAAATTACTGTTTTATGTCTACAGGGTCCCTGGAAGACTAGTGGTTAGGCCACAGCTCTCTCACCGCTGTGGACTAGGTTCGATTCCTGGCCAGGGAACCAACCGCAGTTACTGGGGTTGCATGCAGCATGATCTGCAACTAATCTAAAAAAAAATATACTGAGGAAAGCATTTGTGAATAAATTGTCCAATTGTTTTTTGGTTTTAAGTAGCTTTCAAGGTCTGTTAGCTAGCTAGCTCATGACAATTCATACATGTTTTTATAGCTACGTATTAAGCTATCTAGCAAAGATGCCCCTTACATACAGTATGATCGTGGGTGTTACCTATAAGCTCTAGCAGCACTTAGAGTATTAATTAGTATTTAACACAAGAGATAATCGCTACTGAAGGAAGTGGTTTATTTTGATTGTGTTTAGAAGTTGAATTATTTAAAAATTTGCAAATATTTTAATTGGCTTACAGCCTTCCTGGATTATATGTAACGGCTATGTTTACATGAACATCAATATTCCAATATTAATTGGAATTTGGCAATATTCTAATTAGTATTGAGTCATGTAAATGCCACAATCTGATTGCCCAATTCAGATTAAGACAATATTCTGATTCCCTAGATTTCGATTCCCACCCCTGGAATATGCCTGTTTTAATCAGAAATTTTTTGCATGTAAAAACAATGGATTTATTCAGAAAATCCATTGAAAGGAGATATATGCACATGCTCAGTCTGCAAGGAATTGTGGGTGCTAATAGATGCTTAGCTGTAGGCTAGGTATTTAGGAATGGCAAGTCAGGTATACTTACAACAACATTGTATACAGGAATATTCAGATGCCTGTACGCATATAAACATCGTATTCAGAATATGGCTGCAACCCGAATACAGACCTTAAACAGAATTTGATGTGCATGTAAACGTAGCCAGTCTGACCTTTTGTACAAAGCAGTTAACATGATAAATTTTAATAGGGACCTTGAAATAGTGCAGAATCCTGAATAGTAATTAGTAATAGTTCAAATATGCAAGCTATTGAACATTTACTTTCTTTGTTTTAAATATTTCAAAATTGCCTGTTTATTTCCAATTTTAATAAAAAAAACAACAAAAAAAACACTTTTTTAATGTGGTCTCAGATTTTGGACCCCAATGTATCTTTATAAATATCTTTGTAGGTTTTTCAGTTGTCATAAAATGTCATTTAGCCATACGAACACAATTCGAAAATTCAATCAAAGGATATCTTTAATGAAGGACATAGTGAAGCAATGGGATTCTCCTTACAGGCACAGCTTTAAATCCCGCCTTTCATTCAATTTGTACTGAAGTTGAAAATTCAAAAACTGAATATGTTTATGAATTATGAATTTTACTGAAATCAAACGTTAATTGTTAATTGTGAGTACAGATATTTTTATATTTTTTACACTAAGATTAACCTAAATTTATACTAAATTTATTATTAATCTGTGTCAAGTTTCCCAAAAGCATCACAACACCGTTTAAGAACATCATTAGGACGTCACACGGCAGAACAAGCATCACGTTTAACAATCTCTCTACCAGTTATCACTCTAACTCAAATTTTATCACATAGTTCATATGAAATTATAGAACATAGTGCACATCCCACACTGCCTCCCTCTATGAATGTGCATTTGTGTGTGTTTCCCCTTATTGCACTTCTTATCAGAATGCACTGAAGATTACAGTGTCAGAATAAATTGAGGGCGCTCACCCTATAAAACCGACTCTGCCGCTAGACAGGCAAGATTTGTTCACTTTCGTATTACAAGGAAGAACTTATATTAAACCGTAAACCAGAGATTTCACCTTGGATGAAAAGATCTGCGTCCTGCTTTTTTCATGTTATAAATTGGCAGTGCTGTGCTACCAAATAACTGATTTACAGAACACAAAGGAATAACCAAGCGCAACTCAAGTATCAGAGCCTATTCTCTAATGGAAGGTCAAGCACTGTCGGCTTTAAAATCAAATAACCTCACATCAAATAACTTCTTTTGCACTTGATGGTAAGACCCACAGGCAATTTCAACTTCAGGGTTCTTTCTTCACTACATACTGCAAAATTATTGCACTATAAAACCAATTTACAGGCCAGATACAACTATTTCAGCATGTCATATCCATCACATAGCATACAGTATATGCCATATTTTGTAAATGTAATATTAGGTGTACAAATAGCACAATAAGCATATCGTTGGTTACAACACTTCAGTTACACTTCAGAATGCCTTCCAATAACTTTCATGTACTTCCAAATAATCTGCAACGTGTGCTGGTGCTGCAGTGTCACACGGATCAGGGAGGAATTACACGTTCACATGGGTGAAAAAATAAAAATCTTTCAAATGCATTTGACTCATGTTCTTATTAATATGATATTTGTGCTTATGCCAGTTTAATATGTTTTTGAATAATATTGATACTGTGTAATTTACAGACTGAAAATGTCAGCTAGTATAGCCATCAATAAACAAGATATAATCGACAGTAAATGCACGCTATAAATGCATGTGCGAGTACATGTATCAGTCATAATTTTGCTTACAAGAAATGTCACATAATAATTGCTTTGTGAATGCTGGCTGTGATTTTTTTTTTTTTTATGATATATTTATTATTCAACTGATATTCTAAAACAATTTTAAACAATTGTAAATAATTTACACTTTTAAAAAAGAGACTAATTATAAAACCTTACCAAAATGTGTGAGAATTTAACAAATCTATGGATAGTTACATCATGCTGACATTTTTAATCTAACCCCCCAAAATCTCTGGAAATCATACAAATTCAGAAAAAATTCTGTTTTTTGTTTTCCAATTAACACTTCAATGTTTTTAATAAGGTTTAATATTTGTCAATGAAATTGGAAATAATTAATAAATAAATGGAAAATAAATAAATATAATGTGCATTTTTAAATATTTCAAACAAATAAAGTAAATGTTTAATATCCTGCATATTTAATATTCAGGATTCTGCACTATTTCTAGGTCCCTATTTAAATGTAAGCAAATTTGTGATATTGACCATATTAACTGCTTTGTACAAAGGGTCAGATTTTCCTAATCTCTTCTACTGAAGCCTGTGTTTCAGACCACACACCGATGGATTTGATCTAAAATGGATCATAAGGTTTTGCACACACACGTGGAGTCCAAGCCAGCTCGAGTGAACATCATTAAAGCAAAAAGGGGACGTAACGTATACTAAGAAACTCTGAAATTCATGTAAATATTAGAGTAAAGACTCTACTGTTCACTCGTGTTGTTGTCTGTAATATAATTTGTAATGCCAATTGTTGTATTGAATTAGAAAAGAGTGCAAGATAGAAGCATTTTTCACTAGCGCTCTCAGACTTTTGGACTCTGCTGTAGGCCATTCAGTGTTAAATTCATTAGTTGTAAGTAGATTGGATGTGGACACGTTGCATGGAAGTGGTTCCCCAGATCCATATTAGCCTATGGGGTGAACTTTCTGTAGTGTATAATGGTAAATGAACTGTAACTAAACCTGCACTGTTTTTGCAAAGTTTTCTGGAAATACTATATCAATTTTAGCCAAAGTTTGCAAACTGTATATTCGAATCATTCTTTTTTTTTTTTTGCAGAAAAGCTGAAGAAATACAATCATTGTATCGTAACATGAAGTAGTTTACCAAATACCAAATTGTAAAGCAATTTTTCTTATTAAACGCAAAATGACATTTCAGACAAGATCTTCAGTTTGGGATATCATTTAGGTTTAGGTAGCCTAAGAATGCAACCTGCCTTGAATGTCAACAACCCTGGATTACGATTTCTTGAAGCTGTACCAGGCAATACCATTTCCTTGAATGTCATGCTTCCATTACTACATACAGTTGCACTGCTGAAATAAAGCGAATGAGTGTTTACTGAAACTGATGTGACCATTTTTCATACTGATGGCTATTTCACCCCTGGGCTCTCCAACAAGGACGATGCAGGAGGACGTGGAGGCGACCAAATAGAATCACGTTTCTCCAATCTCTTGTTCAAGCTGCTATGCTGCTCACTGCATGCTAAACGGGTAAGCAGCCCTGGAGAGGCACGTACCTCCAAAAGGCTATTCATCTTCCGTGACATTCGTTCAGCTACCTTTTTCACTCACCACTTGCTCTCTCCTTCTTTGTCTTTTTACAGCATTCATTCTCTCTCCCACCACATTCCCAGTCTTTTTTCACTCTTAGTTATTATTAGAGAAATCAGTAGTATATGGCAGCGTTATACTGTATGTGCCTCTTACTCGCTTAGGGGCTTTTAAAATGTAAAGATTTTAATCAAAGAATTATAAATTTTCTAATGAACCCCAAGACTCTGCTATTTTCTGGCACATAGTTTTTTCCATCATGGTTTTAAAGGTATTAAAAAGTATCTAGCAGCTATTCCTGGGCTTGTGATATTAAAAGTGAATATAGTGGAAATAAATAGTCCTTGATGGCATATACTTTGGTTCATTGATGAATAAATGATTGTCTTATGTAACAAGTAGAAATGAATTTAACACTTTAAACAGAGGACAATATGCTTTCTCATTTAGCCTTGCAAAAAAGTTTAAACTTTCCGTGCTTTTTCCTCTGTGTAAACAGGAATTTACACTAGAAGTCAAACATTTAAAATAGCACGCTTGAAACTAGGTAACCAGTAATGCTTTACAAGGACAGTATATGAATAATCATGCACTAATACCTGAATTAATACTTACTTAAATATGAACTAGTGATGAGTTAAGGCATGTACTAATCACGAACTGACGAAGAGCTAAACTTAACTACGAAGTGAGTCTTATGACCCGTTTTGCGTCATTCTCCATCATTCTCAGACTAAAACCCTGGAAAATAATCCTATAGAACACTGGTTTTAAATGTTAACAGATAATAGAGCAATTTTCCCGGGCCCTAGCCACCCAGAGCATGTACTAGTACTACAGTGGGACTTGAAGAGAAATGGATGGAGAATGATGCAAAATGGGTTAAGATTTAATTAGTGGTGTTTATTATTTCAGTTTATTATTTACAGTTTTGGGCTGATGGAATTCCTAGTTTG